ACCTTGAGCTGGTCAGGATTGAACTGCTGTCAGTCGGCAGAATTAGCCTGCAATACTGCATTCTAACCACTGATCCATCATGGCTCTGAGTGAATTTCTTCATGGCTTTTTAAAGAAAATAATGGAGGTGGTAGTGATAAACTTAGACGAGGGGAAACAGTAATTTCAAAAATATACAGGTAGTCCTCAATTTATGACTAGCTACTAAGTGATTGTTTAAGGTTCTGACAGACCTACCTGGAGGTTGCTCAACACCCAAATTTGAAATCCTGATGGTTGCCCCTTCCCCCCACGGTCACATGATTTCAGTTGCTTGACAACTGGACCACATTTAGGGCTATTTCCAGTGCGCCGTGGTCACATGACTGTGTTTTATGATGGTTTTGCCAAAAACTTGGCAACTTTCGGATTTTGGCAAAACTGGCCCCATTGTGGTTGTTAGTCCACTTAACAACCCCCAGTAGATGCTTATGACTCTGGTGGTCACCTTAGGACCCTGGTGGTCATTTAAAAACCACACACAAAAAAGTTCATAAAATAGAATTGGTTACATGATGACTTGCTTTGTGACCACAGGCACCATTACGGTCATAACTCAAGGACCACCTATATCTCATCGTGTTTATCCCCTTGTGATTTGTGATTTTGATTATTATCCTCAGACTCAGCCAGGAGGCTGAAAAAGTTGTTCTGCCTCAGGCAGGTTGAAAAATATCTGCAAAGGAAACATTTCTGTTTTGTTTTTGTTTTTCCCACATTTTGAGAGGTAAGTTGGCAAGACTGGTGCTGCTGTCCTTGGAAAAGCTACACATGCATATGCCCCAAGGGGTGGGTCTCCACAGGGTGGTAGATTTGTTAAAAAACTGTTTGTGGTTTGAGTGATCATTACATGATGCTACCGTTTGGTTTAATGGAAAACTATGGCCCTTTTACAACTGTGGACTTCAACTCCCAGAATTCCTGAGCCAGCCAGAATTCTGGGAGTTGAAGTCCACAGGTCATAAAGGGAACCATCCCTGATTTATTAGTTTGGGTATATCATATGTGGATACAACTCTTGGCTTTTATTTTCCCATTTGTAGAATTTACCGCCTTGTATGAATTCAGCCACTGTGTGAAGACGATGTCCGGTGGCACCTCTGCCAAGAGAAAGCATAATATAGGACTATAATAAAGCTGCTGAGCCATAAACCATGATTAAGAGCCATGTTGGCTGACTTCATACCATGCAGTGCTCCTCAAGAGGCAGGGCAGAAAAAAAAAGTCAAAATGGCGCTTGGAGCCACATGATTTGAACTCCACCCCCTTTTTATATACATTATTCATAGCAGACAAACAAGAGACAGCTTTAATAATGTCACAGCCACTATCTTAACCCCCTCCCCCCCAATGCATGGCCCTACAAAGCAAGCCAATGTTTGTTTTAGCCTATTGCATTAAACTAGACCTTTTCTAGTGGCTTCTGTGAGGTTGTTTCTGCTTCTCATTGCTTGTGGCTGGCAATTAGTTTAGCAAAAAGGAGAATGCAGTAGTAGAATTCTAGATTTGACCACTTTAAATGTGTTACAACACCATTTTATGGTTTTCTCTGGTAGAAAAATGGTAAAACGAAAAAAATCTGCACATAGAAAACTACCATATGGAATGAAACCATTGTAGCATAATTTTCACCTTGATTTCATTCCAGGGAGAGATCTCTTCCTCCCTCCCTCTTCTCCTTTCCCCCTCTTTCTTTCCCTCTCTTTCCCTCCCTCTCTCCCTCTCCTCTCTCTCTCTCTTCCTCCCTCTCTCCCTCTTCCTCCTTTCCTCCCTCCCCCTCTCTGTCCCTCCCTCCCTCCTTCTCTCTCTCTCTCTCTCTCTCTCTCTCTCTCTCTCTCTCTTTCTCCTATCAGTAGTCCGTGATTTATAACTGGAAGCAGACTTACAACTGGACCAGAATTTCCATTGTTCAGACATCCAGTTGTTAAATGCCTGATTTTAAGACCTCCTTTTGCTGCAGTTGTTAAGTAAAGCACTGCAGTTGTTAAAAGACTAATGCAGTCATTAAGCAAATCCAGCTTCCCCCATTGACTGTGCTTGTTGGAAACCAGCTAGGAAAGTCACAAATGGTGATGACACACCCCAGCCAGGCTGCAAGTGTTGTAAATACATGACAATTGCCAAGTGCCTGAATTTTGATCACATGACCATGGGGAGGCTGTTCAGTTGTATTGTGAGGTTGTTAGTCACTTTTTTTCTGTACTGCTCTAATGTTAACAGTTGCTAAACCAAGGATTGTAAGTCAAGGACTGTATCTGTCTACCTACAATATCTGTCTATCTGTCTGTTCATCTATCTTATCTATCTATCTATCTTATCTATCTATCTATCTATCTATCTATCTATCTATCTATCTATCTATCTATCT